CTGATATTTATATTTTGGAAGTATACTAAGATCTGCTTCTGATGCACCTTCCTAGTCAATAGCAAAAGAAATGAAGATGCCATCATGCTCTGACCAATTTGTTTAAAATTTCTGAGTCAGTGTAACTATTAAGTATTGTTTTTATACCTGCCCCACAACAGCATAAAGAATTGCAATGATGCATGGCAAGCAGCAACATAAAGCAATCCCAATCAAACATGCCAAAACAACACAAAAGATGGCAAATAACACGTCAAATGCCAGAAAAACCACAGCCAACCTGCATATATCAGAGATAGAGATCCTGAAGTCGTTCTTGATTACACCGTAGTACAATACATGTCACAAATAATAAAAGACAAGAAAAACCAAAACATAGAAACTATATTGAAAATCTGGAATGGCTGCCTTTTTCAGTAAATTGGTAAACGAATTCAGAACACTGAAATCTCCTTGTATAAATTTCTGGTCTCCATCATATCAAAGTCGATATATGCTACTAATGATAATGAATATATCAAAACTGACAAATAAGTTGCTTGTCAAATAAAAAGATTGGTTAAAGGCATACCAGTATAAACGTGGAGCACTTTGCAGAAGGATGTCACCGCCAGAAACTACCCAATAGAAGCCCACTATCCACCAAATAAATGATGCCATGGTATTCACTGATTCACATCGTTTGGTTACACTGCCCATTAACCATCAATTCAGTACGAGAATAATAATTCAAATATCTTACATCATGGTCTCTAGAACAGATAAGAAATGCAAAATCAAGATGGAAATACAAGAAAAGTTTCACTCAAATGACAGCATGGTAACAATTTTTACATCTCGATCAATTGGATTATACAATAATCAAAATAAATAACTACCAAACACTACTATATAGTGTCAGTAAATCAGTTGGTATGACGAGTTACACATCAACTCAATTCGTACAATCCGGACTTGACACTCATATCTTGAAAGGGAATTCTACATATAGGTCATTGATTTCCATCAATCCATTACCTGCTTCAAAAGTCATGTTCAACCATTCGATCATTAACCCAAATGAATGCCGCAAATCATTTTCTTGATGCTCAGCATCTCACATAAAAGGAAATAGATTACGGTTCTTGTATTTGAGTCGGGAAGTATTCGAGTACCTAAAGTGGACCGATTTGACCCACTCAGATATATTCCATAAGTTTCGGAAATTCTGCTCACCTTGAAAGCAACACTAAAAGGATAGTTGTAATCCAACCAACTATTTTCCCGCGAACACTCAAAAAATACCATTACTGGAACAAATGACCAAACCAAAAAACCCTTCAAATTCCCTGAGAATAACTATAAAGATCAAACTCGCCCTCGTCTAATTCAGCTCAAAAACCAATAAAATCCCAATTGAGCTTGAATCCTCGTCCAATTTAGTACCAAAAGAAACAATGCTTTCACCAATATTCTATTACTTAAAAAGCATAAAAATCATGCTCCGATACAAATTTGGTTAAAAAGAAAGGCCTGAATCCATTTCCGAATTCAACTAAACCAATAAATAACCACTCAAAAGCATCAAATTAAACACACACAAAAACCCCAGATTGACTTTAGCTTAAAAGAATAAGACGCACATGAAATTTAAGTCAAACTATAGTAAAATAACTGACCTTGGTCGATCTGAACCAATCTCATCTAATTCATCTTCACTATCATTAGCATCTCCAGCAGCAGCCGTATCTCCTCTCTCCTCATCCCTAGCAGATGTTCTTGTAGTGTTCCTTCTCCTGTACTCCAACCAAACCAAAACAACATGCACCAAGCACTGCAAAGCATACCCACATATCCACAGTCTAATAGGCGTGTTAGGCCTCTCATCCATCGTACAGATCAGCATCACAATCGACACCACCACGAACGCCGTGTTCCACAACATATCCAAAGCCACCACAGGCTTAGAGTACCCCCAGTCCGCTCGCCTCTCCTCCAGCTCACGTTCCGCCGTCTCCCTGACCAATATGGAGGCGCCACGACGTCCCGTGACCCGCCCCAACATAAGCGCCAGCGTGGCGGGACGAGCCGCGGGTGCATCGGGCTGGCGGGAGCGGAGGAGAGGCGCATGAGGGTCAGTTGCCGACGCAGTAGTACTCGTTCCAGATAAATATGGAGAAGACATGTGGGAATTTCGATATGGCTTTTTTTCTCTCTCTAATTTTGAAAATCTCTGGGGTCTTTAGATGGAGAAATTGAACATAATTTAACTATTTCTTTTTCTCTTCTTTTGTTGAAAGAAAGGAAAGGGAAAGGGAAAGAGAAAGAGAAAGAGAAAGAGAAAGGGAAAGGGAAAGGGAGAGGGAGAGGGAGAGGGAGAGGGAGAGGGAGAGGTAATTTTGAATGGAAATGGAAAACTATAGAGTAATGTTTGCGGGTGAAGAGAGAGCTTCGAGTTTAGTATTTGGACTTTGGACTTTAGCTGTTGAGTGTTAGATGCTAAAACCGTTCTTTTGTTTTGTTTTTGTTCGTTGAAACTTGAAACAGGTTATTCGGGACGTTATTAATTTTGTTATTATTTAAATAATAAAATTGATAAAAAAATTAACATAAATATTATTATTTTTATTATTGTTAAAAAATTTACCGAAAATATAAAAAAGTTAATGTTTTAAGTAAAAATGATAATATTTTAGATAATTTTTTATTGATTCTATTATTTAAATAATAACAAAATCAATAATATTTTTTTAATTGTATATTAATGGTGTCACAGTAGAACTTTTCATGTTCTTCCAATCTCATGGTCTGTATTCTTTCTTTTTCCGAATTATCATATCGTTTTATATTTTAGTATTTAATTTTTAAAATATTACAAATATAAATAGATTAAAAATTACACTGGATAGATGACATCATCTAAAAAAATATACGTGAAAGTTAAATGTTAAACAAAAATGAGTATTAAAAAAAGTGGTTGAAATTTTAAATTTTAAATTTTTAATATTAGGTTTGAATCGTACCATCGTTATTTTTTGGTTTAATTTATAAATTTATATGTAAATCTTAATTAGGTCTTAGGTATGCCATGGGCAGGGAAGTCACTCATTTCCTAATTTTTTTGTATCAACAAATAAATATGTTTTTAATGTTTTAAAAACATTTTTTAAATATTTAACAAATTTATATATATATATATATATATATATATACATACACACACCGTTGGAGAAAATTAAAATAAATAATCAAATAAATTACAGCTCAAAATGACCACTATACTTTCTTTGGTGAAATCTAACGATTTATAGTTATAATTTGTATTGTGATTATATAAATATATATACTATTTGATAAGAATAAAGACATTGTCAATTATAATTCTTTTATTTTAATTTTAAATTATTAACTAAATTGATTTAACGAATTAAAAATATAGTAAACTACATAAATGGTTACCAAACTTTTAGAGCACTTGCATTTTGGTCACCCAACTTTTAAAACTTGCAATACAACCACCAAACTTTTAGTTTGTTTTTAGTAAGGTCCCTGACGCTACCTCTCGTTAGTTTCATCTTAATTAAGATAATCCTTTTAACCCATTTCAGCACCCTAAAAAAATTCTCACCTAAAATTAACTGAAAACCCTAAAAATCAAATTTCCCTTTCTCTTATTCTCTTTGTTTGACCAACAATCGAAGCTAGTAGTGGAAAAACCAACTGTAATCCCAACATGTTTTTGTAGAATGTTAGCTACCTTACACACATCTTGGACGAATAATAATATTGGAATGAGGTTCTTTGGGTGCGCTAACTATGAGTGTGTATTTAGAAAAAATTGTAATTTTTTATTTGGTATGATCCCCCATTGAATCCACGTTCACATACTATTATCGTTGGTTTGTTAAGAAATATGAGCCATGAAGAGGGGAAAAAGTTTTGAGCGAGTGATTTGAGTGGTTTGTTTGAGAATTTTGTTGCACTTGATTATGTTGAGCTAAGAAATGAGTAATTTAGGAATTTTGTTTTGTTGCTTATGTTTGTTGTTTCAAGTTCATTTTGATAAGCTGAAATTTAAGGTTCAACATGTAAATTGAAGTGTTTATGAACATAAATTACCAAACAAAGAGAATAAGAGAGAAATTAGATTTTTAGAGTTTTCAGTCAATTTTGAGTGAGAAAATTTTTTAGGGTGTTGAAATGAGTTAAAATGATTATTTTATTGAACTAAAAAATAATAGTAGTGTGCCACGTCAGATGAAACTAACAGAAAGTAACGTCAATGACCTTATTGAAAACAAACTAAAAGTTTGACAATTATATTGCAAGTTTTAAAATGTTTGGTGACCAAAATACAAGCATCTTAAAAGTTTAGTGACCATTTAATGTAATTTACCTTCTAAAAAATGCCATTTCATTTAATAACAAACAAAAAACTGTTTTATTGAATGAATAATAAATATTGTTTTTAAAATATTTATATACAATCTAATTTTTTACTTCATTTATGATAATTTATTGAATAAAAGTATAAAAATATTTTTTAACATGAAATATTTTCTTTTGAATTAATTATTGATATTCGATCTTTTGATAGACTAATCAAGATAAGGTACTGTAGAGAGAAGAACAACCCTCCAAACACACTTTGCTCCATTCAAAAACGTCAAGATTTAAACCCTTAACCTTATTTATAAAATCTAATATCTCATCCCACTAGACCAACTGATTGTTAGTTAATATGAAATACTTTATTTTGCATATTATGACAATTTAATATTGTATAAAATTATAATATATTAATATCCATGTCTAATTAAATTTGCTTTATCACATTCATAAACTCGAGAAACTGAAGCTGCATAATTTTGAAGTTGACGTTACCTAGAAGTCAATGACAAGGAATAATGATAATAACAAAAGACCAAATGATAATGGAAATTTCGTCCAACAGTTTTGAAGTGTTTGAATAGCCTGTTTACGAAAAGAATGGTCGGTAGCTGCACAAAAGCTCCCCCCAAAAAAAACGTGTTTAAATAAAGGAATCAAAACTTGGGTTGGGGGAGCTTAGTTTCAGACCAAAATTTCCAAAGCAAGGACTAGTCGAACTTGCAAGAAACTGCAGCATTTCTTAACCTTACCTTGGCATTTCCAGGCATCAACATCGAGTGTTGCAGAGCCCTGATCCGGACATTTCTAACCTTTGATATGCAGCTAGAGGAATTTTGAAGAGAAAGACTACTGACTTCCTTCAACGTTGATTCCCGATAGTCGGCGAACAAAATTAGCATTAAGTGAATGGCCACCCTGTACCGTGTAGATTCAGAACAGAACTTTTAATGACGATGATGTCAAGATCACCACACCCAAGGTACAACCATTGGTGTAGATTCAGGATGATGACAGACAATAACTTAAAACAGAATAGTTTTACCGATACCATCTATATAAGAAGATTTCACTGGCTTCCAAAGATTTTTAGTAGAATTTAGTTTTGGTTAAGAACTAATGAGGATGTGAACACAAGATAAATACTATAAAGACATATCCTGAATCTCCCTCTAAATAACTCAACATTTAGTTCAGACATTAAGGGATTCGAGCTAAATGTCTTCAGTTATGAAAGCGGAATACCAACATCAAACCATGACCATATCCACTTCATCATGCTGGCATGCAAACCTTGAGGCCAGAAGTCAGACCGGCTTACAACAAATATTTCACATAATATTTACCATCACCATTCAGGACTTTGACAACATTTATCTAGTGTATACTAAACCATCTAACTAGTTATTCAGCACAACTCGGTCAACCAAACCATTAATCTCCTATAGTGACTTTCACCCTGAAAATGGAGAGAAAAATTAAGAACCCTTTCGGACACAGATGCAAAGTTGCTTATTTCCCCAGAAACCCTAAGTGCTTCACATATATGATGGATAATGGTCAATCTTCATTAAAATGAAACGATAGTAGGATTGGCAACAGGGGGTGGTCATTGCTCGTCCTGACTTTGACCGACTTCCATGCCTGAACTAACTGAGCCCAATATTATTTTAGCCTTTAGCACCCCCACCGGCCTTACCACGAAATTTTACTTAATGCTTTGATATTATATTAATTTTACAAGTATAGACCACCGAAAACAGATTGTCTTTGTGCATGGAAAAGATGATCTTTAACCACAATTTACTTGGAAGAATATTTACCCATAATAAACAGGTCAACGAAAGTAGAACACAAGCGAGAGAAGAGTGAGTGAAAATACTTACCTTGAAAGATACTATATGTGCTGCAGGAAATCCTTGTCTACCCGGTCGTGCAAAAAGGGAAAGGTCACCCATAAGATCTAAGATCTTATGGCGACAAGGTTCGTCATGGAAACGAAGTGGTGGATTCAGCCATCCTTTAGTAGCACTACAGAAAAAGAAAATATTACATTCAACAGAAAGAAAACCAACTGATCTTGGGATACTATTATTCCGCCGCATGCAAGCCTTGTAAAGACTTGTTGATGTTCGAACAATTTTACAAGACCTGCTAATGTTTGGATTTCAAATGTAAACCTCAGAAAATATCTAAGACGCCACAATGTTTGTCAAGAAACCATTCATTAGTAAATTTACCTAAAAGTGAATCAAGTGTCTGCTTCGGGTTGAGTAGAGATCTTATGGAAAATAAAAACCAAATTGCATCCATGTTCCTTATCGTAAATCTAATTTACTCATTCTAGAACTAACAGCATGCGGCATTCTGTTATATTCTTTCATAGGCTAATAATTTAATTAATTGGCCACCCACAAAAACTACTTGCTTTTCACAATTACAAGGTGCAACTATTACAAAATAGAAAGCTCAATAAAAATTACCAAGTCAAAACATTCTTTGTTTAGCAAAGACTATAGGAGGCTCAGCATGAAAATTACAGCTTAATCCATATTTCATTTTTTTTATAAGAGTTGAAGGCCTCGTTAAAAACCCCCTTCATGATTAATGGAGCTCGTAAAGAAGCTCCTTAATCAGCGGAAGGAGGAAAAGAGTGCCTTGAATTTTCATTAATAACAATAAAGATACATAACGATTACAACACCTAGAATGACCCCTTACAGAATAACTTGAAACCCAAAAATAACAGCCCCTAACATCAACACAAAACTCAGTCTATTCCAGCCTTAGCTAAGGCATCAGCCTCTAAGTTTGCTGTAAGTGTAGTAAAAATTGTCTTCATACCTGTGCGATTATGTTTGAATAAATGACACTACATACAAGAACCGGGTAATCAGCCAACTTGACATAAGTTTTGCATTAGGATCTCACCTGCATACAATTGCGTTTTCTAGTGATCCCCCTTTAATGAGTCCCGCACTACGCATATGTTCCACCTGAATGGATTTTACATGGATTTTAGCTACAGAAGCATAGAAACAATGGCAATTATTTCTACGTGAAATAGCTAGCTGAGAAATCAACTGCCTGACACGACTTGCATAAAACTATAACCCAATAGAAATATAGATAGATTTCTTCTGTTCAGTGAGAGCAGCAGAACAACATTGATGTACCATTTTTTTAAATATGGCCATATTTGGATACCCTTATGGTGTATTTGGGATGAGGAATTTTGAAAAGAAGGCATTTTAAAATGCATCAATTTGAACACTAATTTTTATACTTCAGCAATAAAAATATATATGATAGAGAAATATGTTAGAGATAAAACAAGGAAAAATTGAGAAAAATATGCAACATGTAATATAGGTAAACTTTTGTGGGGAATTAGATTATATAAGAAAAGATAAACCAATATGACAATAAGAATTCACATTGGAAGAAGTTTGAATCAACCTCCTCATAGATGCAGAAAGTTCTAGAACAAGCTATGTGCTTTTCATAGAAGTCATCTGAAAAAGATGAAGAAAACCATTGGCATCCAATTGCAGGCATCTGCAGCCATAAAAAAGGTATTTTAGCATGCACCAATAACAAATCATATGTAAATTCAATTTTCCACATAAAGCAAAAGCAATCCAAGTAAATTATGTGTAAAGTCAATGCCCAACAAAGACAGGTTAAACAGAGAATCAAGGTAAAAACAATTCAATCAAGCAAACCTGTTGATCCAAACTACTAGATGGGTCTATAACAGTAAATGAACCAGTGTGCTCGTTGAAAAGCTCATATACAAGCACCAAGAAAACTCATGTTTATTTATTAAGCTTAATGGATGATTCTTGAACAAGACTTTTAGGCCCATTCATTCTAAGTTCCTTCAATAAATGAGCCAAATTTGTGCAAAGGTAGGTTTGATTTGCTTAGCAGGTGAAAAATCTCCTAAGAACCTTAGGTTTGTGCAGAGATATGTCCAACCATGGTCCATGGATGGGTCCAGCTGGCTGATGAATATTTCTTTTTCACCATCACACATTAGGGCAAGGAGATATCAAATATATGCTTGAAAGCAATATTGTTTCTCTAACTGTAGCCAGAAATTTAGGCACTCAATTACTTGATAATCTTCACAATAGTACTTCATTTTAACAACTTAATAGAAAGCACTTGATGAACTTGAAAAACTCCCAGCTATAGAAACTTTTCTTTGTTCATTAGCAAAAGGGCAAGCACAAAGGAGTCGGTGCCTTATCTTAAGACAGTATACTCCGAAACTAAAGTAGAAATAAAGGAAATAATGTTCTCTTTTCCCCTGAAAAAAGGGGAAAATAAGATAAAGCAAGAAAGAACAAGAATTCCAAAAGAATTTACCTTCGGGAAATCGATTCCACAAGTTATGCGAACCTCTGAAGAAGGGAGTCCAACTATAAAAGAATCATTCCTCAAAACATGCAATGGTTCATTCAAATAAGGCGCCAATTTCTCCAAATTGTTGCCACATCGATCCAAGGCCTCTTTTTGGCCAACTTGTTCAATTGCCTCAACCCATGCACTTGCTGACCCATCAAAAATAGGAACCTGTGTTAGTTAAAATCCTCGTCATCGCCATCAAAAGAATTTATGATAATCATTATAGTGTTTCAACAATATATGTTACATTAAACAGTATGACCAACAATATGGTCTCCAAAGGTTATTTTCAGCTGTTCGCTTGTTGCTTCTTGCTTTTAGCTTGCTTTTTTTTTTTTTGATATGAATGCTTTTAGCTTGCTCAAAAGTTGTTTTGAAGTGAACGAACAAATGAAAAAAAAAATGTAACAGCAATTTGAATATATTTGTTCCTTGTAAAAGTAAAATCATGCATTCTATTATTATTATTATTTAATATAAAAAACTTGTAATTTTCAATTTTTGACATAGGCAAACTCACTTTTCTTGCACACAAAAAAAAATGAATAATAAAGCTGCAAATTCAAGCAAAAGTAATCAATTTTGATAGCCAAACAAAACTATAATGGCACCAACCTCAACCTCAGAATCCTCAGAATCGAGACTTTGAATCTGAATAATACAATTGTCGATGCCTTTAGCTTCCAAAGCCGAAAGCAAATGCTCGACGGTCCGAATCTTGTATCCATCTTTGCAAAGAGTGGTACACAACGGCGATTCTCGAGCAAAATCGATTGACGCGGGAATCAATTTCGACTGAAATTCAAAGTACCTTCCTTCGCCGGCGAACCCCGGGCATACCTTTACCTTCGAAACCTTCCCCGTGTGAAGTGTTTTCCCCGCCAGTTCGATGCATCCCGCTAGGGTTTGTTGAAACTTACCTGTCTGTAATCACAATAGAAGTTAACGAAAATATGGATTATGTTTGGGACGTTCGGAGAGTGACGGAACCCACCGTTTTCCATGAGATGAGATTGGAGGACTTGAGGGAGTTAAAGGCGGCGGAGAGAGACATTTTCTACAGTGGAGGGTACGAAGTTAAATTACAACTATGGTCTAGTTTTGGCGGGCTTTAAAACGCCGAAACTACTACAAAATGCAATTCGATCCAAGTTCCAACTCAGTAAAATTGTTGTTTACCGTTTAAATAAAAGTCTATAATTTAAATTTAATTATAAAATTATATAAAATAATTTTTAAATATCGGTTTGTTTTTACTTTTTAGAATTCTACCATCCTCAAATTTTAAACCGCTCCAATTTGACATTACTTTTAAAAGATTACTTTGTAAGTGTTGTAAAAAATACTTTTAAAAGTATTTTTAAAAAAGTATATTTAAAATTTAATTATTTGAGATTGATGTTAAAAATAATTTTAAAAAGATAAAATATCGATTTTAAACATTATATTGTAAATTGAAAATATAATATTTGAAAATAATTTCACTTAAAAGTGATTTTTCATAAATCAAAACTATAAATCTGAACTTATGAGATTAGGTTAAAAATCATTTTTCCAATCATGATTTTAAATTTATTCTTAGATGTTTAATATTGCTTATGAAATAGAAAATCACTTTTTTAATTGCTAGAAGCATTCCCAAATAGGCACAAAGGTATGGTTGTTTTGGAGTTGCCAAACACCAAAAATTTAGTTGAAATTTATATTCGAAAATCTAACCTTAAAAGTTTAAAATTTTAATTTTTATGGTAGAAAACCCACTTTTGAAATATAATTATAGTTTTATTATCCAATATTTAATTTTAATTAATTTTTAAATTAATACCTAAAAAATAATATTATATTTATTTTAAATTACTTTTTGACCGCCATTTTTTAAATATAAAAATAATAACAAATTAATTGAACATAATATTTCCACTTTTTTAAGGGATAGCAAAGTTTTCGATAAAGCTGACGCTGCAGCTTTTATTTCCACTTTTTTTCTCTTTAAAATACTCTCTGTTTATCCTTTGAAAAGTGCACAAAATTAAGATAATGATTAAAAATATTAATGTATAAGTTTAGGATGGGCAAAACTGTCACGATAATGCATTGGGAATATATTATTTCTCAAAATAATTAAGTCATGCTATTATTTTCCCAAATGGGGGCAATTTACACATGAAACATGGATCTCTAGGCGTCTTTAGCAGATTTCAAAATGCAAAATGGATGTCTAGGCGTTTTTAACAACATTCATGGAGGTCTCGGCGTCTTCTACTTCCCCTCCGAGCTACAGTGCATGCTGTTGGGAGTTATTCATCTTCATGTGGGCCTGGATGGGAGTGGTAGCTCTACATGTAGGGCTGGACGTGAGAAATCACGGGGTGAGCAGTGCATGTAGGGCTGGAGCAGGAAATTGACGTGGTGAGCAGGGAATTCACGGGGTGAGCAGATAAAGATGCATGGGGCCTGGATGTCGGGATTAGCAGCATGCATGTGATTAAGTAGAGGATGTCTCGGCGTTTTCTTCACTTTGGGTGGATTACTCGACTTCTTCTGCACATTGAGGGTGGAATACTCGACGCTTTCTTCACATGGGAGGGGGATGTCTCGGCGTCTTCTTCATAATAATACATGCACAAGAGTTCGAAACATCTTTATAAGAGTGTTTGGCTCGGCGTCTTTCTTCATTGTGAGATTTCATTAACACAAGCAAAGAGAGTGAGAGGAAGAATATCGATCATTAGAAGCAAAAAGAACGAGAGTATCATCATCGTAGTCAAACAAATTGAGGTAATTTAAACTCAAGCCCTAGATATAATTTTCTTATTGTTTTAAAGGTTTAGTGTTTCATATATATAGATCTCATAATTTTCATTTCATTATTTATTAATTTTGTGATTATATGTTATTACATTACATAGTTTGAAATAATGATTTATATGTTGTTACATAATTTGAAATAAGCTTTAGATCATTTTGGAACATTGTCAAGTTATAGTGACCGTTTTGCAAACTTTGAGGAATTTAAGGAATAAGATGTAAATTATTAAAAGTTGGTATACTATGCTGGAATTTAGTATTAATATGCATAATTGGTTCAATTTGAAAGAATTTATAAATTTAGGGATTATATTGCAAAGTTTGAAAATATTGAGAACCAAATAGTTAATTATTTGAAGTTTATTTTTATTTTTTATTAAATTATATAACATGTTGTTGATTATTTGAATAAAACAACTTAATATTTGATAGTAATATTTAATTTTTTTGTCTAGATTTGTTGAATCATGACATAAGAAAATGTTCTTTTGAGGCTAGATGATCGACACATTTCGAGTCATTTGGGAGAATTGGCAATATGATCGACTTATTTTTTTTATTTGAGAACAGTGAATTAATTATAATTACATGGATTAACAAATTGCAGGATAACGAACAACGAGTCCTTCGTCCTCGACTTATCAACTGTGAGATGCCAGATCAACGTATTGTTGATAATTTGAAAATAGTTGGTTTTTATGATATTGCTTTTATAAGAGAATTTCGGTTGATCCCCGGTTTGATAAGTGCATTAATTGAACGGTGGAGACCATAAACTCATATTTTTCATCTTCCATGTGGTGAATATACGATCACTTTGGATGATGTGGCTTTACAACTCAGGGTTCCTACAAATGGAATGGCAGTGGTGGGAAATACCGATATTGACGTGTTTGCAATATGTGAGCGTTACCTTGGGAAGGTACCAGACAAAGATATAGCAAAAGGGTCACGACTGAGATTATCCTGGTTGGCAAATGAGTTTAAGCTCGATTCTGATTGTAGTGAGCAATACATTATATATGCAACTCGAGCATATATATTACAGTTGATCGGCGGAATCTTGATGCCGAATAAATCCAGTAATCTTGTCCATATACAATATCTTCCGTTTTTGGAGAACTTCTTTATGACCCGTCAGTATAGCTGATGATCATCAATATTGGCGTTCTTGTATCGCGAGATGTGCAAGGCGTCATTACTTGTAAATGATGCGTATACGACTGAAATCGGTGGATGCACGATGTTATTACAATCGTGGGTGTGGTACATAATTCCATGGTTAACACCAATTAGTCGAACTGCAGTTGACTTTCCTCTTGTCGGAAAGTAATTTTATTGATTTAAAATATTTTATCTTAAATTAAACAAAGAATATTTTGTAAATGAAAAATAATTACAGAATTTTATTTTAATTGGTATACAGATAGAGACATAAAATAGAAAGAACAGGGTTGGCGCACAATAACGTGAAAGAGTTTAGGTTTAAGATTGACATCAAATGCAAAGTTGAGGTATATATAAAATTAATTAGCGAATTTATTTTTTATTATGTTTATATTATAATATTGTTGTTTATTTATTTTGTAGATTTTTATAATTATTTAATTAAATAATAACTATATAATTTTGTTTTATAGTTTATTTGGAGGTCATACAATGATCAAGAAATTATGTCGTGCGTACCACAACATGTCTGGGAGGGTTGTCAATATTGGTGTGTTGTTACACCATTGATCCATTTCATGTTTGTGGAGTTCCAATTTGCCGATAGAGTGTTGAGGCAGTTCGCCTTCCACCAACCTATTACAGTAATTCCAGAGAATCATGATGCTCTCCATCAATTAGATGGGCGGGGTAGGGTCGGTGAGGATTGGTCGGTGAGGCATGCCAACCATATCAATCATTGGAACAACGGGGGTTCATACTTGCCAACGCTCACTCCCATACAAGCGGATGACTTTGACTTCAAGAGTTCAGATTACCTGAATTATTTTTGGAAACATGGAAAGTCGTTTTTGACAACGATCAGAGAAAGACGGCAATTTATAGAGTATACAAAAAAATGTGGTAAACCCGAGAAACCAAGAAGACATTGGAGTGGGAGTGGTAGTGGGAGTTATTCTCATCGTGTAGCAGAACAATAGGCAATGAATAATATCCTACCAGAATCTTTTGATCACACAATATCATTTAGTCAAGTGGTTGGTGATTCTGGTGTTACGCCCTACACTCCTTAGATGGGAGAGCATAGTGTTGGTGGACATATATTTACAACACCGGAACCCATGCCCTCTATAAATGAACAGGATGGTTATGATGAACAAACTCCTGAACAAGTTCAACGACCACAACGAAACCGACGTGCGCATTGACATTATTACTCAACAACACCCCAACACTGTCAAGAGTTATAATCCTTATTTAAATTATTTGTATCAAATTTAAGTAATTGAATATAATTACTATTATTAAATTATTAAAGTTAAATCATTAAAGTTAAATAATTATTATTAAATCATTAAAGTTACATCATTAAAGTCAAGTAATTATTATTAAATCATTAAAGTTAAATTATTAAAGTTAAGTAATTATTATTAAATTATTTAATTTAAATCATTAAAGTTAAATAATTATTATTAAATCATTAAAGTTAAATAATTATTATTATATCATTAAAGTTAAATCATTATAGTTAAGTAATTATTATTAAATCATTAAAGTAAAATCATTAAAGTTAAGTAAATATTATTAAATTATTAAATTTAAATCATTAAATTTAAATAATTATTATTAAATATGTACTCGAGTAATTAAATCGAATATAATATACAAATTTATAAAATAATAAGATTACTGTTGATGTCTGTACTGTGGAAGGTTTGGACAATTTCTTTTTGAATGACCTTCACCTCTACATAATCCACACCTCTTCGGTTGGCATTTCTTTCTAATATGGATATCCATACTGGTATGAATACTAGTAGATTCCGGTCGACCTGTCAGACTTCTACGAAGTAGTGGATTTGACAACCATTCATCATGATTTCGATTCTCCCAATAAGATTCATTTGAGATCGGTCTGAACTCATGGTTGTATATATTTAATATCCTCTGTAGGTGAAAGCACTCATCAACATAAGCGTATGAATTGATTCCAGTATGCATACATGCAGCGACTGTATGAGTATACGGATATCTCCACGCCTGAAAGTGACCACAATCACACCATATTTGTCGTAAATTAACAGTAAATGATTCTCGAT